AGGTTGCCAACTATTTTATTTTCCACATTTATACACTGATGTCTATATGTTAAATAGAACTGGTTGGGTTGTATTGTATTTATTCAGCCACTAACACATTGGTCCCCAAACTGTGGCCATTAGCGTGTCTTTACAGTCAGTGATGGAGCACTATTCCTATCAAAGATACCATTAATGGGGCATTATTACTACCAAATATACCAATGATGGGGCACTATTCCAACCAAAGATACCAATGATGGGGCACTATTCCTACCAAAGATACCAATAATGGGGCACTATTTCTACCAGTGATGCCAATAATGGGGCACTATTCCCTCCAAAGATACCAATAATAGGGCACTATTCCTACCAAAGATACCAATAATGGGGCACTATTTCTACCAGTGATGCCAATAATGGGGCACTATTCCTACCAAAGATACCAATAATGGGGCACTATTCTTTCCACTGACACCAATAATGGGGCACTATTTCTACCAGTGATGCCAATAATGGGGCACTATTCCTTCCAAAGATACAAATAATGGGTCATTATTCCTAAAAAGATATCAATAATGGGGCACTATTTCTACCAGTGATGCCAATAATGTGGCACTATTTCTACCAGTGATGCCAATAATGGGGCACTATTCCCTCCAAAGATACCAATAATAGGGCACTATTCCTACCAAAGATACCAATAATGGGGCACTATTCCTACAAATATATTAATAATGGGGCACTATTCCTACAAATATACTAATAATGGGGCACTATTCTTTCCACTGACACCAATAATGGGGCACTATTCCTTCCAAAGATACCAATAATAGGTCATTATTCCTACAAAGATACAAATAATGGGGCCCAATTCTTTCCACTGACACCAATAATGGGGAACTATTCCTACCAATGATACCAATAATGGGGCACTATTCCTACCAGTGATACCAATAATGGGGCACTATTTCTACCAGTGATACCTATAATGGGGCACTATTCCTACCAGTGATACCAATAATGGGGCACTATTTCTACCAGTGATACCTATAATGGGGCACTATTCCTACCAGTGATACCAATAATGGGGCACTATTTCTACCAGTGATACCTATAATGGGGCACTATTCCTACCAGTGATACCAACAATGGGGCACTATTCTTTACACTGACCCCAGTTATGGGGCACTACTCCTCCCACTGACACCATCAATATGGCATTATTTCTCATTCCACTTGCCACTGAGGCTGGGTCATTTTTTATTCCAACTGAACACCAAACTTGGGGCATTTGTTTTACTTCCAATGGCCACTGATGCCAGGGCATTTTCTATTCCTGCTAGCCACAGTCTGACCCCCTTAAAGCTTAAGGCTGGCTATACACTATGCTGGCTGTTTAGTGTGGATGGGGGAACCCCCCTTCTGGGCTATTTTATTCTAAAAGTGGCAGTTTTGTGTTAAATGCAGTCACTGTTTAGCCAAGAATTTTGAGACCAGCTCTTTTGCTAAACGTTGATTCACAAAAAATCAACTTTTGTCGTACAGGAGAGTCCTGAGGTCAGTGTATGGCCACTGAACCTACCCTTTGTTTAGAAAGTTTGAGGACCCATGCACTAGACCATGAACAACTCACAGAAGCAATGTACCTAATACATATTCTATTAGTACCTAAGCTTTTTGCACTTTGCTCTTGCTGTCAGTAAAAGCAAAACGTCATCACAAAGGAGAATTGCAGCATGTGTGATAAGCCCGTAGATCACAGCTACCGAACTATTCACTATAGCACTAGTGTGAAGAAATATTGCAATACCCTTTGACAATGTCAGCTGTTCATTAGACCGTGCCAAGACTGTCATTTACTGAAAGAGAGTCCTGACACTGAAGTATAATATCACATAGTGTTGTGACTGTGTCGCATACAACGAGACCTATGGTGGTAATAGCATTTCACATAATAATGTCACTTTTTCAAACAGCAGACCAAGAATCATGTTATAATGAAAGATTGTGTTATGAACTCCTGTGAATGTATAGGACAGACAGAGCGTAGTATAAAAAGGAGAAGAAATAGGAAGAAGAAGTTTACATATCCTTGGGTTGTGTGCATCAGAGCTGACGTTAGATTTTGTCTTAAGATAATAACTCTGAATAATGGAAGAACAAGGTTTTCTTTTATAAGGAGATATTAATATAAAAAAACCACAATAACTTTCTTTACAATGTGGAGTAACTTATATGAAACTACTACATTCATAAGATTATGCTGACAGTTTTAGGTCCCTGCAGACCTAGAACTTGTCTGGCTTTGCGTGCAGAATCTGGCCACCATACAATTATTATTACAATTGTTGTACAAACATACAAAATTGCATTTGGAGAACCTGGCACCTGGGGCATGTGCCCTGGGTTTCCTGCCTAATGCCTTTGGTCTAAAGACAACCAGCTACAGAGGAGTACTAGACGCAGTGATCACGGTCACAATGATGGCTGTATAATGTCAGTGCCAATGTCACTCAGTAGAGTTTAGAGACAGTTGCGTGGGACCTGTAGACATTCTTCTGTCTCAGGTAAATAAACTCTTACACCAATGATCTGTTTCTGAGCTGACCAGCAAAGTAAGGGGTAGTACACCAGTGAGCACCAATGAAATGGAGCACTGAACTCTAATATAAAGAGACACTCCAGAACTGACCATCCAATGGCCACTATTGTAATAGGCACTGCACACATGACCACCAACACAAAGGAAACTTCAGCACTGACTCCCTACATATATGGGCATTTCACTACTGACCACCAATGTAATGGGACATTTCGCTACTGACCACCGATGTAAGGGGTGCTTCACTATAGACCACCAATGTAGGGAGACATTTTACTACTGACCACCAATGTAAGGAGGCACTTCACTACTGGCCACCAAAGTAAGGAGAAACTTTGCTACTGTCCACCAATGGAGGGGGGCGCGCAGGGGCGTCCTGAGGCCGGGTGCCACCCGGAGCCGAGAGCGTATGACACCCCGCAGTGATGTCATCGCGCATGTGCGGTCCTCTAATTTACGCCTGAGGAGGGGACGTTTACGCCTGGGGAGGTATGCCCCTCCTCTCTCCTGACACTGTCGGCTCTCGGTCCATGACCGAGTGCCTGACTTTTTTAGAGGGGGTGACACCAAAATGACTGTCAGTCATTTTGGTGTCACCCTGGTGCGGGCTGCACTCCCTTATGATGCCACTGGGGGCACTGTACTACTGATCACCAATGTA